TTGTATAGTAAATGATAGTGTTTCCTGACGAAGAGCTAGAAATTAAGTTATCTTTTAATTATATGAATTGGATATTATTAGTACTTTTATATTGTTATAAATAGAATAAAATATTTTTTTTAAGTATAATTATTTAAGAGATTTTTTTACATAATTACGTAAGAGATAAAATTTGTTTTTATTATAAATTCAATTATATGTATAATTTTTTAGTTATAGATATAGATGTCGAAGAAATCAAAATCAACTTATGAGTTATCGAATTGATTCTTTCAACAATCTATGAAGGTTTTTTCAGGTCCATTAGTAGTTTAGTTTTTCTTAGTTAATATTTGATTTACTTGGAATGCAACCTTAGTTATATATGTATATTTTTTTAAATATTTTTATATATCCCTTTTTTATTATATTATTTTATTTTTTCGTTTCTCTAGTGTTACTATTTTTGGATTAATTGCCAAGCAATGAAGCAGTGCGTTTAACTATTAACAGAAGAACTCCTTCAGGTATGTCTCCTTGTCAATAGTTTGTTGTATGATTATGTTAAATTTATAAAATATTTATTCCAACACAAGGTAAGGTAGAAGTAGTTTTATTTACTGGCGATGTTAGTTTAAAGCAAAATAAGTATCATATATCAAAATATTTCCTGTTAATTTTTTATTTATTGATAAAGTATAACCTGTTATAGTAACAATTTTTTTTTGCACGAATCTATTTTTAACACAGTGCTCTCAGAAGAAAAACTCTTATAATAGAGGTGTTATACTGTTGCTATGCCTATATTATCTATATTGTATTCATATTTTTATTGATATATAATTTTCAGAGGCTGTAGATTTTGATAATGCATATCTTGATTCTAAATATAAATGTATATTTTATATATATATATATATATATATATATATATATATATATATATATATATATATATATATATATATATATATATATATATATATATATATAATATGGCCCAAGCTCCAGCGTGTTTTATATAACATGTTAATTTTTATAGGGGCTGTTGAATGCAAAGAAGTAAACAATGACCAAGATACAAATGATTTTGGCAGTGCACATCCTGATTCAAATTGCCCAAGTAACTTTTTATTGAATTAGAAATATAATACTTTTCATATTATAAATATAAATTAGTTATTTCGTTCTCTGAAATTAAAAGTGGAATTTGAAATCTACGTTGTGATTAATGTTATATTGCTATTATTGATATGTGAAAATTTAATTTATAGTTTTTTTTTTTAGATGCTGCACACAGTGAATTATCGGTTAAAAAAAAAACTTTGGAATTTCACCCGATTCAATTTATTTGATGATTCAACTGATTCAGAATAATTTATTTAAAAGAAATATATAATTTTGTTTTATATATGTGTTTTACATATACTTTAGTTGCTTAATACTATTTTCCCTTTTTTCCGATTTGAATAAGTGTGTTAAGATTTGCATCGGCTAGCAGAGTTTTTGAACGCCTTTGTTTTTGTCCATACAGATTCGCATCGGGCTGAGATCGGCCAGCCGATGATTTGTTTGGAATCGCATCGGCTTAACATCGGCCAGCCGATGCATTGCAATAGTTTGAGCGGCTAGCCGATGTCGGGCCGACCTCGGTCCGTATGGACAAAAACGCCGTCGGTCCGATATCGGCAGCCGAGCTCGGTCCGACATCGGCTTTAACACAGGGATATATATATATATATATATATATATATATATATATATATAATATATATATATATATACATATATTTATATATGTATATATATATATATATATATATATATATATATATATATATATATATATATATATATATATATATATATATATATAAACTCATGCTTCATAGTCTTTAAAATTAACATTTTATATCAATTTATCAGTCAATGTATGTAAACAAAAAATATATAAAAATAAAGACATTCAGATGTTTTTAATTTTATCAAAAAACATTCTAGTCTAATAATTTGTGCTTTAATGATTTTTAAAAAAACGATAAATTTAGTTTCCTCTATTAATTTAATGGCTTTAACATGAACTATACTTAAGTTTGTCTTATTAAAACACCAAGAGTTGTTAAGAGCCGTCTATTAGCACAAACGGTTTAGATATCAAACTATAGAAATATATATATATATTATATATATATATATATATATATATATATATATATATATATATATATATATATATATATATATATATATATATATATATATATAATTCATGATACATTTAATTGAAATTTCCTGTATTGAAAAAACGTTTATCAATTACTAAAGTTGCTCATAGTAACCATGTGTATTTTACATTTTTTTCTAATATAGTAATTAAACCTGTTATTTTGAAAAAGACACAAGTCTATTTATTAAAGCTTTTCTATATAAAAAAAAGCATGATTTTTATTAAAATAATGTTAGCGATGCTAGAGAAACTTGATATAGGAGTAGATAAGTAAATACTGTATATAACTTATGTTAGTTTTTTTTTTATCCATAATAGTGAGTAATTTTACTAAAATAATTATTAAGTATTATGAAGTAAATTACATCACAGATTACAATGAAAGTTAAGCAATTTTTACATAATTTTATAAGTCAGTTCTTACACATAATCTTCAACTGTTATAAAATAAAATACTTCCATTTTTAATGATTGGGATGTTTTGACATGTGACGTTAATCTCTATTACCAAGTTAGGATTAGAAACCTTAATCCTCTAGATTACAAAACATGGTATGATAGATTACAAACAAGATATAATAGATAAGACATTTACTCTTGATTTATATTAGAACCAGCACCTTTTATTTATAAAAAACAATAACTTTCTGTTCAAAGACGAAATGTATTACCAATTTACAGGAACAGCAATGGGTACTGATTTTGCCCTTGACTCACAATTGGGTTTTTAGAAGTAGCAAGATTTTTTCCTAAATTTTTGCTAAAGTTTTTTTCTAATCAAAGAGTTAGCAATATAAATCCATTTTATTATAAATATATTGATGACGGTTTCATAACCTGGCCAAAACAATTGTATACCGTAAGTTTATAAATTTTTTAACTAAAATAGATAATTCAATTAGTTTTTTAACAGACCAGGGCAAAAAAATTTAAAAAAAAAATTATAACAATTACAATGTGTTTAACTTTTTAGACATATCAATTAATTTTTGAAATTAGCAATAAAATAAAAACAGAAATTTATTACAAAGAAACCAATACTCATGGTTACATAAATAATAAAAGTCATCATTCTTATCACATAAAAAAAAATAACTCTTTTAATTTTGCTAAAAGAATAACTGTTTTCACATCGGATTACAAAAAGGAAGAACAAAGATTAGAAGAACTAAAAACATGGCTAAAAAAATGTGAAATTCCTGATAATATAATAGAAAAAGCTTTTTACAGTGTAAAACTCTAAGGACCATCTTCCTATAACCAATTAAAAAAAATATTTCCATTAATTATAATTTTTTATGGCAAGTTAAATTATTAAACTTTTATAACTGAAACTAATCTTTTACTTAATCTATCTTTAGATAAAAGAAAAAAAGTAGTGTTTTCAATATCCAGCCAGTATTTGCATTTAAACAACCACCCAATACGTTTCGAATACTGTTCTCTGAAAAAATCCATTTAATTGATAAAAAAAATATGATTATTTAAATGTAAATATAATCGTTTCGATGATATGCAAGTTCTACCATCAAGAAGTTAAAACATTTACAAGATGAAATGGCTCCATATAGAACATAAAGAGTCATATAACTTGGAATAATGAAAATGTAATATTCTATTATATTTTTAAAACTACATACACCAGAAAAACTAATAGTTTAAGTCTTTGTAGAAATGAACATATATCTAGTCGTAGAACCGGACAATCAACAGATAGATTTGATAACAATATTTACAGTTGCCAATGCGCAAATAATACAGTTATAAAATCTTTCTTCCAACTTTGTTTTTCTTTGAATTTTGAATTCAAAAATAAAAATAATTTTATTTTCTATGAAAAACATCTCCATAAAGAAAAATATGACACTATAAATTGACATTTCCTGTTTAAAATTTTTATATGCAGAAAATAAAAAGCAATTTTAGGGAGCACTTAAAGAAAAAATTTGTAACGGACAAAAAATATTTCAAATAATTCAGCTCAAAAATTAAAATCAAGTAAAAAATTGATTGTATTAGTTATAAAGATTAAACTATGAATTATTAAAAAGTTTAAAAAAAGGAAAAGATTATTCTGATAACATAAATGAGGAGCCCATTTGCAAAACGCTCTAAGTCCGATTTCGAGAAAGCGAAGGAAAACGTGCCCAGGCTTAATTAGCGCTCTAAAATAAATTGTGTTTGTTAAATTTACACTATCAAGTAGAGACAATTAAATGCACGAAAAAAAATGCAACTTTTCAGGATCTAGAAATATACCTTATTGAAATACGGACTTAAAATAATTTGAATATTTCAGATATACTTAGATTATTTTGAAAATGTTTGGTTGAATTCAGATGGATTGTTTGCTTATTAAAACTAATTAAAATGTTTTGAAGGATTTAACTTGCATGAATTATAAATTTCTTTATAATTATATTATAAAAAAGGTATCGGAAAAGATAAATTAAAACATAGAGAATGAAGAAAAGACTATAACAAAAACCTAGTTTTTTACTAAGAAATTGATCTTTAACACAACAAAGTTTAAAAAGGATAAATACATCAAAAAGTTAAATATGTCTGCATACAGCATCTTCATCAATACAGCTGCATGTAGTATCTTCCTCGTCTTCTTCACGTTTTTCTATTAAAGAATCATAAACAACACTTTTTTAAAAAATTAAAACGATTACCCTGCTCCCAATTCACTCCTGCATGCACAAGAATCAAACTTTTGATATCTTTCTTTTTAGCCTCTGCAACTGGGACTCTTTTCTGGATCTAAGATGGACAAGATAAACAACCATGGCCCCTTTTTGTTATAATTTGAGGATTGTTAAGAAAAAATTTAATATTGGATTCTCCTTGGACTTTAATATTTTTAGACGATCTCTTGTGATAAAAAAGCGTTTATTTTCCTGAATTTTGATTGGCAATGGTTTTTTAAAAACTCTTAAAGGTACTGATTTGAAGTCCAACACATTCCAGTCTTTTCCTGGAATTTTCACTGTTCCCTGGGTACTGTAAATATTATAGTACTCTTCTGGAGAATATATTCTTTCAATTTTTTTCAACTTTTTTTTAAAGTTCCAAATACACGGTCACAAGGCTAAATGTATGTCCTCGAACAGGAAACAAAAGTTCGTTTGTTTTTACTAATATCGGTGCATGTCTTAACAGCCAGAAGTCTGCCATATAAATTAACCAAATATTTTTATTTTGACCACCGCATGCATCAGAATCTAAACGAACAGCGTCTATGTCATCCATGTTTATATTGCAAAGCTGATTATAGAATACATTTGGTCATGCTTATGAACAACTAAACCAGTAATTAAACTATTTTTTTTTTCTGAGTCATTTTCAATATTTATTTGGTTTCGAATTTTTTCACAAAATGAACACAAAATGCATCTGATTTAGGAGAACCAAACCCTAAATTAAAGTTGAGCATAAATATTTTTCTTAAAAATTCATGTCACTGGTAGATTGGATTCTCTTTCTGCATACAATTTCCATACTGTTTTAATATTTTTAAGCTCTGATGGTAAATAAATTTTTATAGATTTCTTTCTGCTTTAATGACTTTCTCTTCCAGGAAGACTTTTTGTAAATTCTATCAAGCCTTTGTAAATTCTATCAAGCCTTTCGCTTATCTTTGAATTTATGGCTTTTTTTATCACCACCTCTGTTTTTCTTTTCTAGGATAACCATGTCTAAAGAGATGTTTTGCAATACTTTAAACACGAGTTTTACCAACATGTAAGCATTATAGAAAAGTGTCTTTTCAAACACGCACTATTTGTCTGTTTTCTTTTTCCATAAAATAACTATTTTTACAATTAGACCTGTTCCTTATTATTTTAGTATAAAATTGCTCTCTTCTTCTATATCGTTGTTTTTTCAAAAACTTTAATATAAATTTGTCTTGGTCACATTTTTTATAGCATTATAAAAATGACCATTAAAAAGGTAAAGGTCAATATCTTTAATTTCACAGCATTTATATATTGTTTTGCGTTCATGTTGGCAATAGTGTTTTGATGGTGGTTTTAGTCGGTGCCTAAAAATAAAAATGTCAAATAATTTTTATATATATTATATATATATATATATATATATATATATATATATATATATATATATATATATATATATATATATATATATATATATATATATATATATATATATATA